GTTGTGCGGTCTGGCAAGAATGGCATAACAACACAAACAGGAACCCAGGAAGAGGACACTGGTGGGGGGGGAGGATAATTTTATTTCGTAGTTTCTCTTATGTTTGTTTTTTGAAGGAAATATATATATATATATATATATATATATCGTCATATATATATATATATATATATATATATATATATATATATATATATATATATATATATATATATATTCGTTGATGTATCTTTTGCAACAAAACCTAGGCACTGTGTACTGCAACATGGAACGACGACTGCATACGTCCCACATTGAAGTGGAGACACGAAATGGTGCAAACCGGGCCCCACCATGTCGTCCTTCTTTTTCCAAACCCGGACGCCAAGGAAAAAGGAACACCGGTTTTTCTCCGCCTCCCTTGTGTAGTGTGCAGTCCTATCTGCGTGCCCAAAAGTGACAGCCAGTAGTCCAGCGACTGTGCCAACTACACATACACCCTTGGCCTGCCAAACAAAGACACACTACCCAACTTTACAACTCCTTGTCCATGCGTAGTTCCAGTGCAAGGAAAAGACGTGAAGAGCAGTTGGCTTCCTCACTGGGAATGATGAACACAAACGATTATGAAGGCAGGTCTTTACATGTTGTCATATTGCCTGATTTCCAACACAGATTGTTTGTCGAGAGGGTTGAAGCCCGAACAGGTTGAAGGGATGCAGACATGGTACGTCTGCCTGGTGGAGGAGGAGCGGGTCGTCGCCATGCTTGACGTTCATCGTGAAGAATAACGACACTTGCACGTTTGCGTAGGTATGAAAGCCATCTGTATCGAATCGTACTTCAAGGGTGTGTGATGGGGGTCAACGAAGGGTAAAGCCGTTATAGTGTTGACCGCTATAGTGGCAAAAAAACAGGTTTGGCAAAACCTTTTTGCACACCAGTTGATGTCCATTCATTACGACTTCGAAGATGCGTTTGGCATCGGTATAACAAAAGAGAACGGGTCGTACACAACTCGTGATTCGGGTAACTGGCTCAATGAGCGTATCGTCGATTGACTAGCGGGACAAAAATGTGGTCATCAAGGTCATGGTTAGTGAGATGGGTATTGCAGGGAGGAACTCCAATTACAAGTTGGGCACTGTAGGTCGGCTATTCATACAGGTGACTGGCCAGGCTAGTTGAAACTTTTGAAGGATGTGTATATTTTTGGAATATTCGTAATTTGTGTTCATCGTTTCTTCCAGTTGTGCAAAATTGTGGTCGTCTTTTCTTCAAGGCTTACAAGATTCTCGTCGTGGAATTATTAAACCACAAGTTACCAAAAAAGTTAATTGATGCTTGAGTAGCCTAACAACATGTCAGCAGTTATCTATGTCTTTCATAAAATTTATTGAACTTCTTTAATAGTTCTCAGTTTGTTCTTAGCCAAAGATAAGTAATGCCTTTAATATTCCAAATCACTTGTATAATTTCATATAGGACGCTGTGCCCGGTTCTTAGTACGTGTTGCTCCCCACAAATAAACTTGAGCATTTGTAAACAAAAATAAAATAAAAAGAGCAACATTGATTGCCATAACCAGCACAGACTCAGGAACGTTACAAGACGAAACAACGATGGAAGTTGCATTGCAAATAAGGCACATGTCAATCGTAACGTCACCCACCTGTCCATAACTTTCTCCCTCTTTTTTTTTTCCCTCTCTCTCTCTCTCTCTCTCTCTCTCTCTCTCTCTCTCTCTCTCTCTCTCTCTCTCTCTCTCTCTTTCCTTCAATGCATGTCTCTGGACCGCACCAACGCACCAGTCCACAGTGTAATGACCCAATTCAAAAAACCGGTTGAACGAAAAAAAAAAAGATTAAAAAAAATAATAATAATAAAAGAAAAATGACGGTGGTCCGAATGAAGAAAACAAACGCATCCCCGCGAAACGGCACAGCAAGCAACCCTAACGAAAAACTCAATCCAAGTGGATGGAATGCGCACGGATGGCCTCCCTCAAAAGCTCGGCGACACGGTGCCGCTGACGATGGCTCGCATAGATGACAAAGCTTTCGCAACGTAATTCCGCTTCCTGGTCATCGAAGTCTCCACCAACCCCATCATCTTAACCACCGCTTTCGTCTTCGTCCTCCTCGTCGTCATCACTTTCATCGTCTTCATCAGCTCCTCGTCGATAAGAATCCCCTCGTCGATTATGATGTTGTGGAGAATACAACATGTGAGGAACTATATGCAAACATTCTGCATGTTCGCAAAATGTTTGTGACCAAAGCACCTCCATTTCCTTCAGCCAACCGAAGCACCGTTCAATGACCCTACGCAATGCTGGGAACTTGCTGTTGAAAGTTGTCTGGTCGGCAGTTCTATTCACTGTAGGGAATGGAGTAATCAACCATGGAACAACCGGATACCCTGCGTCTCCCATCAAGTACCGTCCCAGAAAAGTTCCGTCATGGAGCACGTTCGTCCTCCTCGTGAAAGGTCCCCTTCCCTCCTCCGCGCGTGAGTACAAATCAAAGACTTGAAACACACGAGAATCATGAACAAAACCTGGCCCCCCCCCCCACACGTACAATATGCGAAGGTTTTCATCACAGACGACTTGGGCTACAATGGAGTACTGGCTGTTCCTGTTGTAGTACGCCTCTAGCTCCTCGACCACGTGGCTTGTCCAGGTACACATGTGTGGAGTCTATAACCCCGAAGCACCCTGAGAAGTCTTAAAGTTTGCCCTTGAAGTAGTCAAGAGTGATCTGCAATCAGGCCCCGTCAGACCACCTGATCGTGTCCCTGTACTTGGCAAGCAAGGTTGTGGATACGCCATCTGTACATCTAACAACACTATGAAGTCCTATCTCAAAGTCATTGCCGCATTGCCGGTAATATCCACGTGTCGCCCACCGGTAAAGGGTGAACGTGAACTTAAAAGACGATGGCAAAACTTTCCTCCACGAAGTGTTCAACCCTCTAGATTCGAGGAGAGGTTCAATGGACAATGAGGGGAAGATGGGCCTCGTCAAGCGTATGTACTCTTTGAACTTCTTATCGTGCTCCGGACCCAACATGTTCAACTCTTCCCACGTGCCGCCGACTCTGTTTCTCACGCAGAACCGTCGGCGTCGACGGTATGGCAATAGTGGCAGGCCAAGAATGGCGTGGCCGTCCTCCGCTAAGCATTGCATAAACAAAATGCCACATATGACGGTCATCTGCTCCCTCACCCTCACCCAACGAATTGTCGCAAGAAGCATGAATGCTATCTGCTGAGGCGTCATGCTGAAGATAATAGTGTGGAACCAAAAACACAAGTCTTGGCGGGCAGGCTAGGTGCAGAGTAGTCCTTTCGAAAACTGAAAATCGGAAGGAGAAAAAAAAAACAAAACGAAAAACAAAATAAAAAACGAATGCGGTGCTACCTCGTCCTCGGGCCGCGTGTCAACAGGTGGGCCCACCATGTGCGATCTGCTCGACAATGGGGAGACATCACCGCCCACCCGACCTCCTCCTCGGACTACCTCCGTGAGATCCCTCAAACACCCCCCGATGTTGAGAGCGTCAATGTCTTTATCCTCATGTGCCCATGAACAGGGAGAAAGCCTTCACTCCCGCACGCGTGTGAAAGTAACCGATGTTGCCAAATGACGTGGCAGTTGAGCACGCGAGAGATCACGACCGGTTGGTGACGAAAGGGGGATCATAGACATGGCTCTGCGCTGCACACGCATGCACGACACACGTTCATAGTCGTCGCGCGAACAAGGTGAAACCATACCGATGACAGACACATGGAACAAAGTATCTCACACAATGCCACGTTGACGAAGGACATCGAGGTTCGGGAAGAATAGTGAGAGAGACATGGGGACGCACATCCCCAGCCACGCCCATACGCGCACCTCCGCCGACACACGTCCGAAGGAAATCTGCTCGAGTACTCCCGTACGGCGTTGGGATGGACTGGCGCTGCACACGCATGCGCGACACACGTCCGTAGTCGTCGTGCGAACGAGGGGAAACCATACCGAGGACAGGCACATGGAACAAAGTACATCACGCATTGCCACGTCAACGAAGGACATCGCAAGCAGGGAAGAATAGTGAGAGAGACATGGGGATGTGCATCCCCAGCCACGCCCGTGCACGAACGAGGGGAAACCATACCGAGGACAGGCACATGGAACAAAGTACATCAGGCATTGCCACGTCGACGAAGGACATCGTGAGCAGCGAAGAATAGTGAGAGAGACATCGGGACGTACATCCCCAGCATTCCTGTGCGCGCACCTCGGTCTACAAACGGACGAAGGATTTCTGCCCGAGTACTCCCGTACGGCGCTGGGCCCAGAACAATTGTGTGTGGCACAGTGTGCCACACAAAAAAAAATGTACGACGGTTGGGGGTGGCCCAAAAACAAGTGTCCGTTGGAAAGGACAAATTTCGGTACCGACCGACCACCCACCCAAGAAAACCCGCCGCTACCCACGTCAAACCTCCGCCCGGGTCGGTTGTGTGGGGTCCCCGTTTTCTTTCACGGGTCGCCCGGAGCGGGCCCAGCTTTTTCGTTACTTTTACGGATTCTTGTTCCGCAAGTAGTGTGGGATCAGACCCTAATCCAAGTGGAACTTCCCTCCAGTATACTTTTTAAGCAGGCTTGGGTTCCTGCCGCCAGCCCATGCGAATGTGAAATCTCATGCATGCCAGTACTGTGGCCGCGTTCAAAAATGCTGGGAACCTACTCCATCGTCCCTGCTACCTTGCACGGTCCCCGCTGATCCCTCAAACACTCGTGCGCACATGAGAGACTGGCTTCTACCTGCTTCAGTCGTGAAGTAATCCCTCCAGGCCTTCGCCTGTCGCACAGTGGATGGGGCGGGCCTTGTTGCATCGTGTCCCGGCAAACCTTTCTTGCCTTGTCGCACACTAAGCGGCCCAGCCCGAACACAATGCGGTCCCAACTGTCCGCCGATAGGGCACCCATCGTTATGGGTACATCTGACACCGCCACGTGACGCCGAGGCGGACATCTGACAGGGCCACGTGACGTGGAGGCGGACATCTGACACGGCCACGTGACGTGAAGGCGGACATTTGACACGGCCACGTGACGCTGAGCGGACATCTGACAGCGCCACGTGGCGGTGTCGCGCACTGCCGCCCACGCACTGCCTCGTGACGCGGATGTGCGGACGTCTCACACAAGGTGTTGCGCAGACCAGACGTGGGGGAGAGCGTAAGAAGTGACGGCGCCTTGAAGAAGAGGTGAACTCTTCCTTCAATTCCCGTCTTTCTCCCCTAGCCTTCCCTCAAGTGACGGCAAGTTAACACTTTTTCCGATATCATTTCCCTTTTTGGTGTGTGCGTGTGTGTGTATGTTTTGAGTGTATGTGTGTGTGGGTTTGTGTTTAGAGAGAGAGAGATTGAGTTTGAGAGAGAGAGAGAGAGAGAGAGAGAGAGAGAGAGAGAGAGAGAGAGAGAGAGAGAGAGATTGTCGAATGTACTTGTGAGTGTATTGAATGTACATACGTGTGTGTGTTGCCATGCTTGCTATACTCTTCTAGCAATAGAAAGCATGAATGTGCCTGACTGTATAGTCGGACTTTCACCGACTCATGAGAAGGTTGAACGTACGCGTGTGTGTGTGTGTGTGTGTGTGTGTGTGTGTGTGTGTGTGTGTGTGCGCGCGCGTCCGCGCTCGCTCGCTCTAGCCCTACTGGGCTGCCCGTCTTCACCCGAATAACGTACAGTCATTATTGCTGTAGCTGGACCAAGAGTTGCCCCAACTCAGCTATAAGCCAATAATGACCGTATGTTCTATTCGGGTTCGCAGACGGCAGTCCATCATCCTGAGTTGGTGAAGGCCCTGGGTGGTGAAATTCTACCCGGCATTATTTTCCCCCCCCCTTTCCTACCCGGCATCATTTGTTTCGTCAATAGAGAAAGAAACTTTCTCCGTGGAGGTGGCGCAACTCCTAATTACGTCATCCTCAGGAATCGATGAAATGGACTGTTTAGCCAAATACTGCGGGCGTACTCGCACATGTAGCACTTTCATAAATGTATCTGACTGCAATCAGAGCCAGATCTGGATGAATCTTACTGCAATCACGTCCAGAGCTTTGTAGAAAATGTTCGAGTGTGAGTATGCCCTGAGTCCAAATATCGGACTTCAGAACACTTTCTGTATGATTATTCGATAGAAAAAAACCATGAACGTAAGTATGCCAGACGCCCCACTAGCCGTAGTGGCTATGTTCATCCCAGGATAGCACGAAGATGACCTTGATTACGACCAGGTTCGCGCTTTCCAAGCACGGAAATAACACCAGTGGGGCCTGGCCCTAAGTAAAGACGAAGATCGAAAAATTAAAAAGTAAGAAGAGAGGAGGAGGGATGGTGATGTGGAAACTCGACCCCTCCAGTGTTGCCTCTGTATTGCACTGCAGCAGAGTGCGGCGCAGCCCTCCTAAAAAAAAAAAAAAAAAAAAAAAAAAGGAGAGACGACAGTCTTCTCTGATGACAGGGCGCAACGACAAAAAAAAAAGGTTGAGAAAAAAATGAAAAGCGCGGAAGCACCGTAGTCCCTTCGCCCCGCGGCCCCCCACCCCCCACCCCCTCTCTTTTGCCCCATCATCCGCAATCCCCCACAGATCCTTCTGGTCATTTTGGTAATTTCATCTCCACTTCCTCCCTCGCCTCTTCCCCTCTTCCCCTCTTCCCCCCTCTTCCCCTCTCCCTCTTCCCTCCTTCCCCTCTTCACCTGCTCCTCCTTGGTCTTCTTCCCGCTCTCACCCCCTCTCGCCCTCTCTCGCGCCTTGCCCTGCCTCGTCCTTCCCCCTCTTTTTTACCCTTTCTTCCCCTCCTCATCAATCTCTGAGTCATCTGAACCCCCTTCTCATGACAATCATTTCATTTCGAACGACCTCTCTGTTCGCCGGACCTTTCTCTTTCTCTCGTCCTGTGCGCACGTAGGCTAAGCTCTCCCTTCCCACCTCTCACTGTTCTTTTTGTACTCAAATGCTCTTCTCCGTCCCCACTCCACGGTCTTCCTCCCCTGATCCCTAGTCCCTTCTTGCCCCCCCCCCCAAAAAAAAACTCTTCCACCCCCTGCGAAATAAGTCTGTCTTCCTTCTCACGCTGACCGAACCCCCAAACGAAAAGCGCAAATCACATTTACTACCCAAAAAGTGCGCAATGCATCTGTGAAGAGCACCGTTATTGAAGTATTGAAGTTCGTAGCTGGCTGGTACACCCATGAATTGCTGAAATATAGACCCGAGTTCGAATCCAGAAGGTTCATGATAGTTTAATTATCCAAAAAGCTACGTAATCTCCAAGGCGCACAGGATACGCATAAGTAACCTTCACATCACAGATTTGGCGTGCACACACGAAATTTCTTGAGGTGGTTCATAGATATGGCTTTTCCAGGGCAAGGTTCGTTTACGTATGTGTTCTTGCGGATCTTCTTCGTTGTTTTTTTTTTTTGTTTTTTTTTTCCGGTGATCTTCTGAATCTACTGTTCGGAACTGAACCTACGGTCCAGAATTGGACCTACGATCCAGAACGGACGATTCGGGCAAAGAGGATCTCGACCCAGTCACGATCCTTGAACGGGTAAGTCGTTTGGAAAAGGAGGGAATAATTAACGGCTGATTACGTAATGACCCGCTACTTGGCGTTAACCTGCCTCCTCTGCTTCCTCCGCCTCCTCCTGTTCCTCCTCCTCCTGCTGCTGCTCCTCCTCCTGCTCCTCCTCCTCCTCCTCCTCGTACTGCACTCCTCCCTCTCACTCCTCTTGCTCCTCTTGGAGCTCATAGCGTAATGAACCGCCTCTTGCCGTTCACCTTGCCTCCTCTCCCTCCTCTTCTCGTCTGCCTCCTGTCCTCCTCCTCCTCTCTTCCTCCTGCCTCTCTTGCCGGTGATTCCGTAATGAGCCGCTCCTCTTCCTCCTCTCCCTCCTCTCCCTCCTCTCCCCTCCTCTTGCCAGTGGTTAACTTATGAACGGCATCTTGCCTTTCAACCTCCTTCGTGTCCCTCCTCTTTCCCTCCTCTCCCTCCTCTCCCTCCTCTCCCTCCTCTCCCTCCTATTCCTCTGCCTCCCCGGCATCTTCCTTCTCGTCCTCTTCCTCGTCCTCCTCTCCCTCCTCTTCCTCCTCCTCCTCCTCTCTCTGCTCTTGCTAGGGGTTAAGCAATGAACAGCTTCTTGCCTTTCACATCCTCACCCTCCTGTTCCTCCCCTTCGTCTTTCCCCTCTCCCTTCTGTTCCTCCTTTCCCTGCTCTTCGTCCTCTTCCTCCTCTTCTTCGTCTTCCTCTTCTTCCCTCTTCCTCTTCTTCCCTCTTCCTCCTCGTCCCCCGCTTCCTCCCGTTCCTCCTCTTCCTCACCGTCTTTCTCCCTCTTCGTCCTCCTCTCCCTCCTCTTCCTCCTCCACTTCCCAGTGGATACGTAATGAACAGCTTCATGGAAAAGTTTTTGGTATGGAGGAGAAATGAACTGACATATCGTGACAACAATAATTGCAAGATAGCTTAAGTCTCTATCATTGTGGCACCACGTCTATGTACGGGGGCCTCGTGTCCGCATACGTGTACGAACAGACGCAGTCTAGTATGCTGTGGTCGTACCGGGTAAAAAAAGAAAAAAGGGATCCGGGAAAAAGATATGCAGCATTGCAATGCAAACAACTTTCTTTGTTTTTTTTGTTCATTCAGGGCAGGCAACTGCTTAGCAGGTGCTAGGAGAACCTGCCAAGTTGGAGCCTGCGAATTGATGGCTCCTTTCTGTTGGTGGGGTGCTGCACCTGTTGGAGGACGGGTCCAACGTCACCTGGAAATACAGAGTCGAAAATGCCTCCTTTTACCTTAACTAGATCTATAAACTATTCCTGCAGGCCGCTTCACCCTCTTCCCTTTTGACTACTTCTCGATTTATGTGTGTCATCCTTGCGCATGGGCCATGCTAATCTCTGCTCTGTATCGTTCCAATTCTAAGGGATGTCCCGGAGGATCCTTCACCCACTTCCCTATTCTCAGGCTAGTAACAATTCCTTCGCCCTGCAAAAGGAATTGTTAGTCGCTTCACCCACTTCCCAATTCGCAGGTGAGTAACAAGACTTTTGCAGGGCGAAGGCATTGTTACTAGCCTGAGAAAAGGGAAAGGAGACAATCTTAGGCTGTCTTTGATACTAAGTCACTTCAAAAATACTGGAACTGGAAGTTGAACTGGAAGTGGAACTTTTCTGCTATGCTCTACGTTAAGGAGGTCTGAATCCATCAACCATGGTTCGAGAGTCGTGCCTCCTGACTTCAATTTCAACACCCTTATGTCGCCAGCCCCATGTTCGAAAAAAAATGGCCACGAGCTGCCTTTTTGTTCAGCGCTCTTCTAGTACGTCTCCAGTCCTCCCAGATTGGTGTTCACACATTTCCCACAGTCACACTCATGATACTTCGATCCCAGTGGAATTTGCCCCAGAGCAGCCCGTCATTTCTCAGATTGCCGCAGAACAGTCTGTCATTTCTCACATTGCCCCGGAACAGCCTGTCATGTCTCACATTAGCCCGGAACAACCTGTCATTCTCAGATTGCCCTGGAACAGCCTGCCGTTTCTCAGATTGCTGCGGAACAGCCTGTCATTTCTTAGATTGCCCCGGAACAGTCTGTCATTTTTCAGATTGCTCCGGAACAGCCTGTCATTTCTCAGATTGCCTCGGAACAGCCTGTCATTTCTCAGATTGCCCTGGAACAGCCTGTCATTTCTCAGATTGTCCCGAAACAGCCTGTCATTTCTCAGATTGCCCCTGAACAGCCTGTCATTTCTCAGATTGCCCCGAAACAGCCTGTCATTTATCAGATTGCCCTGGAACAGCCTGTCATTTCCCAGATTGGCCCGGAACAGCCTGTCATTTCTCAGATTGCCCCGGAACAGTGTGTCGTTTCTCAGATTGCCTCGGAACAGCCTGTCATTTCTCAGATTCCAAATGACATTCATAATTGCCCGCCCTGCATGCTGCCGCAACAAATTGCCATCCTTTGCTAACATCTTCCATGTTGGGAAGGATTCCATCTATAACGAAACTTTCCTCCCACTTAATCTTTGTTGCCACGTTCCTCTTCCACAGTCTGGCTTACCACTTCCAAATTCTCTTGGATTCAAGACATGACCACCACAGGCGCGTGGCCGTTTCCTCTTCGCCGTTTGCATCAGCAACACTTTTTCTGTATTGGAATTCTGTTTCCTGCAAGCCACTTGCAATTTTT